CATCCAGAGTAAGAATCTGGTTAGATACCATATTTCTAAGCTTTTCAGCGCCGAGTACAATGACCTCAGTTTTATCTGAGTTAAGAAGCAGTTTTCTGAAAAACATGTAAATCCTGTTTGATGTTTAGTGTGGGATTATAATATCATCTTATGCCATGTTATACCCCTGATTAATGATTGTGAAATTATTATGTAGTTTTAGTTTACATTATTCTCCTGAATTAGAAGAAGGTGATAACTATTGAATTTGTTAAACTGATTTGTATTACATTAGACTGCTGATTTATTGTGAATGGATGATATTGTTTTATGATGCATTATACTGCTGAGTTAAGAAGAGAATATTGTGTGCAGAGAGTCGGGGCCTTGGTGCTCTGATAGCAGAGGAGACGGAGCACATTCCCACCCCACCACCTTGTTGGGAGCAGAAAAACAAGGAGCCGAGGTCATAACTTAGGCGCCGTGTGAGAGAAAGAATGTGAATGTTTAGGCTTTTACGACTAGGTGGGGGCTACTAGAGGCTATAAGAGCTTGAGTAACCCTCCACCAGTTTGAGATGTGCTGTGACCCTCTGCATGCATGTCTCCCCATCCGGATGGTTTATGCTCATAAAGTGTTGAATTGTGTGGAATAAAAGATTGTTGATTGAGCTTTTACACCGAGTATTGTCCTTCCTTCAGCCCAAAGATCGAAAGAATTGGGAGGATATAACATTAGTAACAGCAAATTCGTCAGAAATGTAAAAATATGAATGTTTAACAGTAACTTTGATCATAAATCATGAATGAAACATCTCCACAGGTGTACAGAGGCCCGTTTACAGCAGTAACACCTCCTTTGTTCCACTATGTAACCAACTGTCTGTTTATCATGTTAAAGCCCAACTAATCAGCCAACAAACGTTTATCGAATCACATCAACACTGACCAAAATTATTTTGTCAACTAAGATAGTAATACATTTTGTCACATTAGAGTCTTGAACGCCCCATTTTCTCTTCCTCATTCTGATTACATCAAGTTTGCACTTCTCTATAAAAACACTGGCACTCACATATCTTCAAAACCCTCAGGGTTTTTTTCTGTTTCACAAATGGAATCGTTTTTATTTCTTAAAATAAAATAAAATAAAATGTTTCCCCTTTTGCAGTATAATTGCAATTAACAGCAAAATCATCGAAGACTTAAACTGGTGTGTTTAAATTTAGCAGTTAGTGCAAGTTCGACTTTATATTAAGACTTCAGTATGAAACATCTTTCAGTTCAAGCAGACGTGTCAGGTGAGTATTTGAACCAATGAATGTGGATCAGTTCTACAGTCAGCGGCCTATCCCAGACCATCCCAGCAGGGCGGATTATCGACTACGCCTTGAGTGGGGGCGGGGTTAACATTTTGCACAGTCTGTTGTCTTTTGTTTGTTGTTTCTAGATTAAGTTTTCTACATATTTCATTAGCACAGTTTGTATTACAACATTATATGTGGATTTGTAGGAATTCTTCATGAGCCAAAAAAACATACTCCTTAATCGTAATTTTGTTCCTTCCTAAACAAGTCTTTTAAGGAACACGTGAGTGTAACTATTTACTCTTTTAAGTCCATTTTTTGACTTAAATGTGAGCCAGTGAAGAAAAATTAATATGAACCGTCTTTCTAGTCCCTGTTCTGCTTCTTGTTGTCGTCTTTTCAGCCGAAGGTTTTTCAAGAAGGTTTTAACAACCTGATTAACAGCTGAAAATAGAAAATACAACTTGAACACACAGTTTTCCAAACTGTAGGAGATGAAAGATGTTTTTAATGTGAGTGTTAAATGACACCTGAATAAAAATCTTTACAGTGTCACCGTTTTGGCCAAGGTAATGACATCAATAGTATCATCTTATTTGACACCATGTTTCTAAGAGTTATATACAAAGTACAATAAGCTTGGTTTCTCTGAATTTAGAATTAGAAAACTAATTAGAGGTCCAGGTCTTTATGTCTGTAGTTTATTTGTGTCATTTGGCTTCATAGACAACTGGGTATGCTGATGATCTGAGGCCAAGAAGAACAAGCAGAAGCCAGAAGGTCATGATTAACCTGCAGTAGTGTTTCTGTGCTATGACGAACTCTGACTGCAAATCTTCAAATTCGTTGGATTTTAGAAAAAACAGAACCTGTAAAAACCATTTCAGACTTACAAGAACAATAAATATAAAGAGTAGAAAAGTTGGAAACTTGAAATACTAAAAAGAACACCTGAGACGCTGTTGGTCAGTCACGTGAACCTGCAGGTGCCACCGTGCTCTTACAGAACATTAATGTTTTTATTTATTCAGTCAATTAAGAGCAAGGAGGGACGTTTTCCACCAACACACACAAACACACACAAACACACACAAACACACACAAACACACACAAACTTCAATTACGTCCTGTTGCATCCATTCAAAGCCCCTCTGCCATGTTTCTCATTATAAACTGGTTCCAGCACGTTCTTGGTAATTAGCACAGAGTCACCCTGCTGCTGCATAACCAAACGACCAGAGCAAAGAAATTATAAAATAGAGGCACAAAGGAGCAAAAGTGAGAAGAAGACGAGGAACCAGAAGCTGACGGCAAAAGAAGAGAGATGGCTCAGAGAAGAATCAGGGGAGGCAAACTCATGATGGGTGAGAAGAGCTCAGCCAATACAAAGCTTCACAGTGCTCTACACATCATTTACTTGCTTAAATGTAAAGAAATGAAAAACATTAAACATGAGATTCTACCCATAAGAGGATTTTAGCTTAATTACAGTTAGAACCAATATGACCAGTTTGCTCACCAGCTCACAATCAAAGTTTTGGTCTTTAGCAACCACATTTCAGAAATCTCTAGCACAAATATTCATTTAAATGTGATCGATTTGGAAGAAAAAAAATTACCATACATCAGAGATGTAGTATATATATGATATGAAAAATTATTCCTTCAATCATTCATCTTAGAAAAATAATTTACAAAGATGTGAAATAACCTGCATTTATTTTTTGTTTATTTATGATTCACTGCACCAGATTTAATAATGTTATGAGTATAAAGCCACGGCTTTGCTCAAATTCTGTTATTGTTGGTTTGGCAGCCCTTAAGAGGACAGCGCTGATAATAATGATAAATGAAAACTTTTATTTTAAACTTTTACAGCTATTTGTATGAGACCTTTTATAGAACAGGTTCAAATGTAGCTGAATACGGAGCCCCGCAGGGGACATGGGAGAAAAAAAAATGAAGACAGACTTTTGCGAGATCTTGCAAAAGTTGAATTCCAACAATGGCAGCAGCTACTTAGTTGTAATATTACTCTTTCTGGGTCACAAAATACACTTTTAAGATATTTTGAGGCGTGAATGTAGTTGTGTAAACGTCAGATATCTGCTCGGTTTACAAGACATCACATATTTGCAAAAGTGCTCCGACGTTTTCGGAGATCTAACACTCACTAGCTCGAAGCTAACGGGAGGTCGAGACCTACTACAGCCGGGAGGAACACCGCTTTCCCGGCACATCGTGCCTCGACCTCCCGGTCGGCTTCAAGCTGGCGGCCTCCGAAGAATGCGGCTAAAACTTTTGTGAGATCTTGCAAAAGTCCGTCTTAATTTTTTTTTTTCTCCCATGTCCCCTGCGGGGCTCCGTAGCTGAAAGACTGCTTGAGGAGTGTACTTATTAAAGGAAAAAAGGCAAAAGGACACCAAACTGTGGCCCTGCAGCTGTTCCTCTAACTCTGCCTCATCTTTTCATGCTTCACAGTGTTGTGTGTGGTGACGATGTGCAGAGCCGTCCCCATCAACGACCTCATCTATCGAGCCTCTCAACAGTCTGACAAACTGCACGCGCTCAGCACGATGCTCACCCAGGAGCTGGTCTGTACCTGTGTGTGTGTCTCTGTGTGTGTCTGTCTGTGTTTGCACTGTAAATAAAATGTCACAGTCTCCCTAAACATAAAAAACACAAACTTCCTGTTTAAACCCGATGCTTCCTTATTAGCTCGACATGCAGTGCAGTGGGTCTGCTTGAAGCTGCCTCATTAGCAGTTTTCTAAGTTACAACATTTGGTTAAACTCTTGAAAAAGCAGCAGCCTTTGTGTTGAATTAAAGCCTGCCAAGCAGTTGTTGGTTATAAGATAAGTTAAGATAACCTTTATTAGTCCCACACTTGGGAAATTTGTTATTTAACAGCAGAAAGTATGTATGGTCGGAAGGGTAAGATGGCTCTGGCAAAAGGTCGGCAGCCTTAACCCCGTTTCCTTCATGGGTCGACCTTCAGGATCAATAAAGTTTTACTGAATTGAGCTGAAAAGTGGATAGTGCAAAGTTATATAGAAAAATTAGAAAAACACTGGAATAAGATAAGAATAAGATAATGTACACAATAGAATAGAATAAAATAGAATAAAAATACTATATACAATAGAATAAAATAGAATACAAATGCTATTTACAATTGAGTATAATACAACAATGCCAGAAAAGAGTATTGCACTCAGTGTTATTGCTATCACTGATCAATAAAAGTCAGCATGCTAAAGCCTGAACAATCTGTCTGATCTGTCCCATTCATTTAAACAGCAGGGCTCTGAGGTATTCCCTATAGACAGGGTTCACGCGTGCCACACCTCCTCTCTGCAGACCCCCACTGACAAGGAACAAGCACTTCAAGTATCAGTAAGTCATTTTACTTCATCTTGATTTTTGCAGCCTTGCCTACTGTCACACTGTTGCTATGTCATATCTCTGATATCTTCAATATCTCTGCATCTCTGCTCACACAAGGCACAATTTATTCAAGAGCCCCTTCAAACAGTAGTTTAAAGCCAACGAGAACAAAGGTGTCTTCATCTCACTGAGACATATGTGCACACATGTGCACACCAAATCTCCTTCACCTTATTGTTTTGATTTCTCCTCTAGGAGTCAGATCTGTTGTCCCTGGCTCGGTCCCTCCTGCAGGCTTGGTCGGACCCTCTTGTAGTCCTGTCCTCCTCTACTAACGTCCTCCCGTACTCAGCCCAAAGCACCTTATCCAAAACTATCCAGAAGATGCAGGAGCACTCCAAAGACCTCAAGGATGGCCTGGATATACTATCTAGCAAGGCGTGTGGGCTGCAAACAATAATTTCTGAATATACATTTATTTGAACCAAGAATATTTTTTAAAAAAGTCAAATGAAAATAATTTTTCCCGGACTCTGTTTGTGTCCAGATGGGTCCAGCTGCTCAGACCATCACTTCACTTCCATTCATAGAAACCAATGAGATCGGCCAGGACAAGATTACCAAACTGCTGTCCTGCTTTCGCCGGGACTCTCACAAGATCGACAGCTTCTTGAAAGTCCTGCGCTGCCGGGCAGCAAACATGCAACCCCAGATGTGCTGAAGAGTGGCTGTCCAGCCTGAATCTGTGAAAAGATCGTTCTTACAGCTTCTATTGCTTATCAAATAGAGAAGTGCTCATGATAGAAATTTGCTGTCTTAGATATTATCTGGTTTGCTAATTAGTAAGTTTTTTAGGCTTCAGGGATTAAGGATAAGGAAGAATTATAAGGCACGCACACAGGAAACTATCCCTGGTTTGACT